ACAAAGGTGATAGATTCTAAGTCTGATTCGAGAGTGGACGACATGCATAAGGCTTTTTATCGTTTTGTTTACTGCTTTTTCTTTGATTGTATTATCAGCCATGTGACGAACGTTATGTTGATTTAATATATTTGTTGGTTTTAACGATAAAAAAAATGGTATACGTAGTACACATGCAATTTAACTCGCGTTACTCCCTCCAATAATTATTGTATCACATTTCATATATATTAGAGAGGTAAATTATGTGTAAGGAAAATTTAAATCGAGGAAAGTCGTAATATAAATCACGTATATACAAAATATAACTTGAGACAAATTGAAATGTAAATATACGTGTATGCAAATTTTGTTGGAAAAATGATTTTATAAATTAATATTTTGGTCACTTTTGATCTAAAATATGTAAAGGACTGACTTCTCATTTTTAATGAGATTAAGTCCTAACATATTGTACATCATAAGGTAGATGTTTTCATATGTTATTTTTAGAAAACCATTTTGAAATGAATGAGAAATTATTCCTTGAAATTCTCTCCGAAACAAAGTTTGTGTAGAACTTGTCCCACACTGAAAATCTTAAACAATATTGAAGGCTTTTTATAACTCAAATATTGATATTCCAAGGGGCACCCAAATTTTGTAAGGAGGGAAGATTCGCACACGGTATGCGTGGAGTTGGACTTCATGCATGCCCTTAAGATGTAAACATGTCTTCAGTATAATTAGTTTCGGATAAGACAACATTTGGGAGAATGGTTGCTACCTTTCTCTAAAGAGACCAATGTCTTTTAGTATTAGTCTCCTGGCCAGAGTACTATAAATCTCAATTGGTACATGCGTTTTTAAAACATCCATAAAGTCCAAAAATTAACAACTTTTTCATCATCTTCCTCATCCGAACTCTATCACTTTAGTGCATCGTTTAGTTTGTTGTTGTCCTTCGGAAAACGAAAAAAAAGTTCTATCGTGGGAGACAATTATTGCGGGCATATTTGTCTTAAGGAGACAACAAAAATTTATTGGGCTCGATTTCATCATCATATATACCGTACGCTTCTTGTTTCTCATAATTATTTATTTAATTATTTATTTTGTAGATTTTTTAGATACGCAAACAACAAATGTAACTCGATACAAGTCGAAATGTAAATCGCATTAATTGAAATGTAATTTGATGCAAGTCGAAATTAAAACCACATTAATGAAAATGGAACTTGATGTAAGTTGATTCACGTTATGCAACAAAATAGTAGACCCAATCGCAAATACTCGCTAAGTCTGGAACGTACAAGTATTTTAATAGCCTACTAGGTTCGGGCTGGACTGGACATTAATTTTGGGGGGAAAGGTACAAGTATACCCTTGTAGTATTGATGTGAGAACAAATATACCCTTGTTCTATTTTTCGGAACAAATACACCCCTAAAGTGTATGGTGAAGTGCATATATACCTATGAACTTTTAAAAAGTGCAAAAATACCCCTCATGTTCTTATAAAGAAAAAAATGTACCCTTATTGACTTTAAATAGATAAAATAAATTTTAAAAAATACCAAAAATAAATTAAAAATTCGAAATCTAAAAATAAAGATTTATTATTATGTTGAAATATTAACTCTTTAATTTTAAATTGGAATATTATTATTTTTTCCGTTGTAAATGAAGCACTTCAAATTCACAAATATTAAGTTTAGTAGTTTTTGTACACATTGTTATATTTTTTTAAATAACATTCTTTGATTTTGTTTAACCTTAACAAAATTTAATTCACTATTTTGTAATCTTGAACTATTTATTGACATACAAAATATGTAATTTTATAGTGCAAAGAATGCAAAGAATTAATATTTTCTTACATTGCAACACATATCATAACACTTTTTTCCAAAGAATCTTAAATATGTAGTAAAGTTTTAAAATAATATTTTATAATAACAATATTAAATTTTGATGTACAAACAATAAAATAAGTCGGCTAACAATTAAGCAATATAATTTTCTCTCTCATACGTAGTACTTTTAGGTATAAGCAGGGCCGTCTCCAGGAATTTTGATGCCCCAGGCAAAAAATGACTAATGAGATCAAATAGTACTTCAAATTAATAACATAATTAAATAAGAAGAATGAGCATAATGTACATAAAAGAAATATATAACTCCAAGAAAATTATAACACCATTTTTACTAAATGTAAAAAGAAATACATGACTTAAAATTGATATAAAGTATGTGAAAACCAAATAACCGTAAGAAAAATAAAAGAAATATATATAGCACAAAATGTCAAGTTTAATACGAGTTATAAATAATAATTAATAAATTGAAAGTATAAAAAGTCATTTAAAAATTTCAGTTTCTAATTTGTACTACGTATAAGGAATTGTGAATTGAAGAAGAATAGTAGAAATCAAAGTTTGATATATATCAAATTATATTGAAGGTCGGTCTTTACCTGGTTTGCAGACGGGCAGGACGGTCAATTAGGTAATATTATTTTATATGTATATGTAATATTACATACAAAAATTACATTTTTTCTAATATTTCAGTACAAATAAATTGAAATTTTATCAATCATAAACTTGAAAGATAAATTTACTATAATAAAAAGTCTGAAAAGATAAAGCGTGTCAATATAAGACTCGGAAAAGATAAAGTACCGTGTGCCAATATAAGACTCGGAAAAGATAAAGTACCGTGTGTCAATATAAGACTCGGAAAAGATAAAGTACAAATAAATTGAAATTTTATCAATCATAAACCTGAAAGATAAATTATTATAATAAGGAGTCTGAAAAGATAAAGCGTGTCAATATAAGACTCGGATTATCTATCAAAGACCTAAAATATCATTAATTTTGATTTATTTAATTAATTTTTTATTAATTTGATTGCTAGTTTTTGAACAGTTTTCTTCATAAAAGTATACCAGTATTAGTTTAATAAGACTATACAATATTTCAATTTTTTTTACATTCATGGTTTTTCATATCTTAGATGAATTGTTTTCAATCATTCACGCCATGTCTTGACCCATTTCATCTTTCAGATCTCTTATTGATAGTGAACAAATCTTTCAAGTCCTAGATTAATAAAACTTATAAGCTTACGTACTATATAAAATAATGAATTAAAGAAATTGATTGGAAATAATAATAATAATAATAATAGTAATAATTATTTTAATAAGTCAATAAGTCAAAACAAAAGTGAGCTAGATTTCTTCCCACACCAAGTACTGCTCTAATCAACATACTACGTGCAATGCTAGTACCCATGGAACATCCCCCACCGGTTTTATACAAGTGAATGCCTTTTCCATTCCACTATAAAAACAAAAACAGATTTTTGATATTCTACTACAACAGTGCCCGCTCCACACCGGAAATGTAGGCTTATTCCCTCATCCGTTCTTCTATAAATCAATAGGAGCTTTGGTCTTTAAAACTGGTCTATTCTACTCCTCATGCCTAACCCGCTTAGGCGATGCCTTTTGGCGTATAGTAGAACACTGATACTACTATATTAATAAATTACTATAATTACTATATTAATATATGTAATAATAATAATAGCTTTGTTATTAAAAATGATGCCCCTTGGGGAGTGGTGCCCTAGGCCAATGCCTAGGTGCCTACCCCCCATGGCCGGCTCTGGGTATAAGTTAATCCGGCTAACTAAAATTTAAGTGAGATAATTTTTTCTCATATGTATATATAGATTTCATATTTAGGTTAAGGGATGCTCCCAGAATAAAGTAATGAAATATGGATTTTTTTTATCACTACCATCTTGGGATAAAAAAACAGACTTCATGTTTCATTGCTTCATTTTGGGAACATCCCTTAACATCATCATCATTTCAAGCAAACACTACCACCTACGGTGGGATAAGGATGGATCCGATGTACGGAACTTTACCCTTGTATTAAAGTACAAAGAGACTATTTCCGGATGACTCATGGTGAAAATCACGTCGAAAATTGCATGAACTGACTGCTGCTTTCGATTTAATTAGTGAACCACTTTACTTTATTTCATCATATTTTGAAGCTAAAAAATAATGCTTCCGATTTAGTTAACCACTTTACTTTATATCATCATATGTTCAAGTTAAAAAACAATGAATCTTTAGCACCGTTTCAAATGATGGAATGGAACATCCATTAAATTGCCTTAATGATCAAATTAGTGATCAACAGTAAAAACATGAAAGTCAAAACTCACGGAATGTACTTATTAAACTCATTTTAGACGGAATTGTGAATATCATAATCAAAACTGATCTGAGGGTTTAATTACCTATAACTAAAATTAAAAGAACCTAGATGATTGACCATATATATAATGTATCTCATGGAGTAATCTAAGTGGTTTACATGCATACATGATTGACACATATATGCAATATAATAGTGCAAACTTTGGTTGCACGAATTTCTTAAGTTAACATATCCTCAATATCATTAGTTTCACATCATATAACTACTGTTTGGACTTTAGATCACTACTGGCCGTTAAAGTAATTCTGCCCGGATGCAAAAATTTGTGAAAAAAGTAGAGTACACTACCAAAATACTCCTAAATTACGTACGCACGTTCTAAGGTACTATTAAAAATTTCTTGGCTTTAATGCATTATATAATTTCTTTCACTTGTGAAAAGTCAAAAATAAATTTTTCCAAGAGATGAACAAATTGATTAGAAGTACCCTATATATTCCGTATTTTCATATAGTTAGGAGAGAATGGTCAATTGAAACATAATTATTGCTAATGCCTAATTTAGGATTTATAATGGTTTAAGTTAGGATTAATTAATTGAAACATTATTTAAGTGTGATGAATTATTATTGTGAATTATGTGAATTTCATTTAATTTAGTGAAAATTAGTTAGTTATACGTAGGTTTAATCGTAGTGACGCATTAAGTTAAATTAATTAGCTAAATTAGTTTAATCTAACACGATATAATAAATAAATATAGATATAATTTGGTATGAACACTCGATTTTTACGTGGAAACCCGAAAGGGAGAAAACCACGGGACTTTTTAGGCTAATGTCCAAGCCTTCTCTCATTCTCATTAATATTGTACTCTTCTGATCACCATTACATAGTACAAGTCATTCCGCTCACATGCATTAATGGATCTCGGATCAGTCAGCCAACAAGCAGTTCTCAAGCCAGCGCAGACAATCTTGATCGGACATGGACTGTGGTGAACTGGTCATCATCGTCTCAACAGCTTCATCACCACCAGTGATAGTGAAGGGCATATTATTAGCCGCAGGAACAAGCAGATCTGATGGTGTGGTACAATTATTGTTGAACCCATTATCCTCAAAATCTTTGGTAGAAAAGTTTGAACCCATAATCAATTTGAGTTCATCTTCGAGATCAAATTGATCAAGCCACTGCATACAGTCTTGAGTGGACATGGCCATGGGCTGTGATGAACTACTCAGCATGGTCTCATCAATTATTTCATGATCACCAGTGATAGTTAAGGCGGGCTGCTCCATGTTATTAGCCGCAGGAACAAGTAGATCATCATGATGTGTATCTGATGGTGTGGTAATTAAATTATTGTTGAACTCCTCCTCCTCCTCATCATAAGTGATGTTCTCCTTTCCATTTTTCTTGTGATAATAAATCTTTACCAGCACATAGTCATCTCCCTGCAACAAATTAAAATGAATTGAAAGTTATTACGTACCTACATACATTGGTCAACCTTAGTCAAAGTTAAAAAAATTCATCAATATATATGATATGATCGATAATCTAGCTAGATCTTCCTTAATTAATTAACTAATAATAGCTGCGTTTATTAGTATGTCATGAACTTACAGTATTATGATTGAGAGTAAACTCTTGCATGAGCCAGTCCGTTTTCAGTCCCTTGAAACCACTCTTTTGTTGAAAGCCTTCGTGATATGCAAATGTCTTCTTGGACCCGATTTCCTTCTTTCCGGCCCGGACCGGATGAGAACCGGATGCCCTCCAATACCCATTCCCGGCTTTCCTGCTCGGCCGTTTCCTTGACTGCTTCACGAAGAAATAGCATGCATCTTCTCCCACTGTCCCGTACTTGCCTGATGATATGATCCAATTCAATTCAATTTCAGATTTATTTATTTGCAATATATATATATATATATATATATAACTGATCGAGTGAATATATAATTAATAAAACGATGAAATTAATAATAGTCGATCATGAATATATTTGAAGTATAATCAATTGTGATCGATCATGAATAAATGAATAAGATGGAAATGAATAAATAATGGACTTACAAAGAATGTCCCTGGGATGGGTTTCGTAGATATTAATGGTATGAATGATCGGATGAGTGATGGGCACACCCATAATCTTCCCTCTCAAGAAGTAATCCACCAGCTCCAAGTCCGTCGGCCGGAACCGGTACCCCACACCCAAGAAATGGTGGTTATTATCATCGCCGCCGGGTGTCCACGCTGACGCCGCCGTGCCATCCATCATCCACCGCCCACCTGCCTCCATCGATATCATATATACCTTGCACCTAGTGCGTCGACTTGCAGCACACGTACGTACCCTGTAGCTAGTGATGGACTAAGTGATAATGATTGTAATAAAATGATTGAGATGGATGGAAATAGAAACCCTAATAAGCTTTATATATAGTAGTCATACGGAATATTAGTTAGTTAGGTTTCTTAATTAATATCACAATTCCAGTACCTGTTATTTCTAGTTTAAACATTTCATAAATTTTTCTTATTTTATTTAGCTATTAATAATACGTACATGTTAGCATGCATACACCATTTCACCTTTAATTACATACTAGTTTTTTTACCCATATATTTTTACCCATGATCTAATTAAATATTAAAATAAAAATAACTTTTTGGGAGTCTATATTTTCGAGAAATAAGAGTAATTACAATAAGCTAATATCATAAAGTATAAGTCATACAATAAATATTCAATAAAGAGTATATTAGAAAAAATTAATTGACACCACTCATTAGAATTTGCTACCCATTAATTTTCATTATTAAACTAATTTTAAAATCAAACACTATTCTAAAATAGTGAGTACAATACGTAAATGACATAAAGTTTAAGTGAATACAATAAATATTAAAATTCACAAATATTAGTTAAATGGAAACTTGTTAATCGTTAATTAAATTAGTGCCAATATATTAGAGAGAGAAAATTGTCCTACTCAATTGTTAGCCGACATATTTAATGAGTACTTAAAAGGATTACATATGAGAGAAAATTCTAGCGCTCAATTGTTAGCCGGATTATCTTATACCTAAAAGGCTAAAAGCACTATATATGAGAGAAAGAATTAGCATGCTCAGTTGTTAGCCGAATTATCATATACTTAAAAAAAGCTACATATGACAGAGAAAGTTCCTCCGCTCGATTGTTAGAAAATTATTTTCTTATCTCCTCATAACTAAAATCACTACATATGAGAGAGCAAATTCTCCCGTTCAATTATTAGCTAGATAGGCAGTTTATCTTATACCTAAAAGCACTATATATGAGAGAATAAAATTTTCCCTGCTCAATTGTTTGCCGGATTATTTTATACTTAAAAGAGAGAAAAAGTTCTTCCGCTCAATTGTTTTATTTTGGCAAAACTTTCTAACCTATTATAGTCTCTGTTCTAACTTCCGCTCAATTGTAAGAAAGTTTATTTTCTTATCTCCTTATACCTAAAAACACTACATATGAGAGAGCAAATTATCTTGCTCAATTTTTAGCAAGCTTATCTTCTAATCATGTAATCATACCCAAAAGCACTACATATGAGAGATAAAATTATCCCGTTCGATTCTCCTGCTCAATTGTTAGCAAACTTATCTTCTAATATCTAAAAGCACTACATAAGATAGAGAAAATTTTCCCGCTCAATTAAGAAATTGTGTTTTTTTATATATATATTGTGCCCAGAAATTAATGCCACGTTTTTTTAAAATAAATATAGAAGGTGACCTTCCTTTGTTATATTTGTGTATTCGGTTACTTCATTATTATCCTTGAATTCGACACATGACATTTGTAGAGTAGAGGAGTAATTTGTGGGGAGAATGACACATAGGATTTATTAAGAATATAATTGTCTTTAGATGAGCTATTTTTTTCTTATATATATAAATAGACTACATGACTATATTTATCAAGGACCAAAATTACAGGGATTAATAATCCTTAAAACCCATTCAGAAAAAAAAACCTTGCAAAATATATTAAAATTCATAATTCTTGTGACGTTTCATATGACAGTAATATTGCACTTTTTTGAAGGTTTATCAAACAACTTCCTATTTTTTAACAACGATCATCTCGAATTAAGTAAAGAAATAATCTATAACTATGACCCAAATAAGTATAGTAGATAACATGTGACCTATTAACTTTTAATGATTATAATTATGTTTTAGATTTATATCAAACTAACTATAAGGAATAACCTTTGCAATAGATATTTGTGAATATAAAAATGATTATATTGGTTATAATTACACTCAGATAGTCACTTTGATATAATTTTAAAAATAATTATAAATATGTTACTTAATAAACCTTCGGATTTTGTTTTTAAAATTTTATATGCAATATTGGTCTCATATGAAAGATCATAAAAATATGAATTTCGATATATGTTTTGCAAAAAATAGAGCAAAAATGTAAAAGTTATAACACTTTACAGAAAATGGGTTGTTTTTATATGGATGGCCCCTCCAATTTTTATTATATTTAATCCAATGCATAAATTAACATTTTCATATTTAATTAGTGTAGAAGAATTTTATATTTAAGTCTATTACTTTCTTATATATAAACTGATGGTGTTTTTAAAGTGAAATTGTCTGAATCTACCAAAATTGATTAAATTCTGTCTGAAATGATTTTAAAGGAAAACTTTGTTTCTTATAATATCGATAAAAAAATAAAGATAAAGATCATATGTTAAAGATAAAGATCAGTTTTGTGGAAGGTAGGAAGTATATAAATATATATAATTTTAAGCATAATTATAGAGACCATTAATAAATTATATTTTTATATATTCAATATTAATCTCATATGAAAGATCACAAAAAAATATGAATTTTGGTATAATTTTTGTAAACATTGGAGTAAAAATGAAAAAGTTATAACACTTTAAAAAAATTGGAATTTTTTACAACTTGGGCCCCACCAACCCCATCTCTCCGCCTCTTCCTTTTCTTGGTTCGGTAGTTTTGAAGTAAATTAATTTTTTATTAATTTGATTGCTAGTTTTTGAACAGTTTTCTTCATAAAAGTATACCAGTATTAGTTTAATAAGACTATACAATATTTCAATTTTTTTTACATTCATGGTTTTTCATATCTTAGATGAATTGTTTTCAATCATTCACGCCATGTCTTGACCCATTTCATCTTTCAGATCTCTTATTGATAGTGAACAAATCTTTCAAGTCCTAGATTAATAAAACTTATAAGCTTACGTACTATATAAAATAATGAATTAAAGAAATTGATTGGAAATAATAATAATAATAATAATAATAATAGTAATATTTATTTTAATAAGTCAATAAGTCAAAACAAAAGTGAGCTAGATTTCTTCACACACCAAGTACTGCTCTAATCAACATACTACGTGCAATGCTAGTACCCATGGAACATCCCCCACCGGTTTTATACAAGTGAATGCCTTTTCCATTCCACTATAAAAACAAAAACAGATTTTTGATATTCTACTACAACAGTGCCCGCTCCACACCGGAAATGTAGGCTTATTCCCTCATCCGTTCTTCTATAAATCAATAGGAGCTTTGGTCTTTAAAACTGGTCTATTCTACTCCTCATGCCTAACCCGCTTAGGCGATGCCTTTTGGCGTATAGTAGAACACTGATACTACTATATTAATAAATTACTATAATTACTATATTAATATATGTAATAATAATAATAGCTTTGTTATTAAAAATGATGCCCCTTGGGGAGTGGTGCCCTAGGCCAATGCCTAGGTGCCTACCCCCCATGGCCGGCTCTGGGTATAAGTTAATCCGGCTAACTAAAATTTAAGTGAGATAATTTTTTCTCATATGTATATATAGATTTCATATTTAGGTTAAGGGATGCTCCCAGAATAAAGTAATGAAATATGGATTTTTTTATCACTACCATCTTGGGATAAAAAAACAGACTTCATGTTTCATTGCTTCATTTTGGGAACATCCCTTAACATCATCATCATTTCAAGCAAACACTACCACCTACGGTGGGATAAGGATGGATCCGATGTACGGAACTTTACCCTTGTATTAAAGTACAAAGAGACTATTTCCGGATGACTCATGGTGAAAATCACGTCGAAAATTGCATGAACTGACTGCTGCTTTCGATTTAATTAGTGAACCACTTTACTTTATTTCATCATATTTTGAAGCTAAAAAATAATGCTTCCGATTTAGTTAACCACTTTACTTTATATCATCATATGTTCAAGTTAAAAAACAATGAATCTTTAGCACCGTTTCAAATGATGGAATGGAACATCCATTAAATTGCCTTAATGATCAAATTAGTGATCAACAGTAAAAACATGAAAGTCAAAACTCACGGAATGTACTTATTAAACTCATTTTAGACGGAATTGTGAATATCATAATCAAAACTGATCTGAGGGTTTAATTACCTATAACTAAAATTAAAAGAACCTAGATGATTGACCATATATATAATGTATCTCATGGAGTAATCTAAGTGGTTTACATGCATACATGATTGACACATATATGCAATATAATAGTGCAAACTTTGGTTGCACGAATTTCTTAAGTTAACATATCCTCAATATCATTAGTTTCACATCATATAACTACTGTTTGGACTTTAGATCACTACTGGCCGTTAAAGTAATTCTGCCCGGATGCAAAAATTTGTGAAAAAAGTAGAGTACACTACCAAAATACTCCTAAATTACGTACGCACGTTCTAAGGTACTATTAAAAATTTCTTGGCTTTAATGCATTATATAATTTCTTTCACTTGTGAAAAGTCAAAAATAAATTTTTCCAAGAGATGAACAAATTGATTAGAAGTACCCTATATATTCCGTATTTTCATATAGTTAGGAGAGAATGGTCAATTGAAACATAATTATTGCTAATGCCTAATTTAGGATTTATAATGGTTTAAGTTAGGATTAATTAATTGAAACATTATTTAAGTGTGATGAATTATTATTGTGAATTATGTGAATTTCATTTAATTTAGTGAAAATTAGTTAGTTATACGTAGGTTTAATCGTAGTGACGCATTAAGTTAAATTAATTAGCTAAATTAGTTTAATCTAACACGATATAATAAATAAATATAGATATAATTTGGTATGAACACTCGATTTTTACGTGGAAACCCGAAAGGGAGAAAACCACGGGACTTTTTAGGCTAATGTCCAAGCCTTCTCTCATTCTCATTAATATTGTACTCTTCTGATCACCATTACATAGTACAAGTCATTCCGCTCACATGCATTAATGGATCTCGGATCAGTCAGCCAACAAGCAGTTCTCAAGCCAGCGCAGACAATCTTGATCGGACATGGACTGTGGT